GCCTCCTGGGTTCAGGCAATTCTCCTGCCTCAGCCTCCTGAGTAGCTGGGATTACAGGCACGTGCCACCATGCCCAGCTAATTTTTTGTAGTTTTAGTAGAGACGGGGTTTCACCATGTTGACCAGGATGGTCTCGATCTCTTGACCTTGTGATCCACCCGCCTCGGCCTCCCAAAGTGCTGGGATTACAGGCTTGAGCCACCGCGCCTGGCAATTTTTGTATTTTTAGTAGAGATGGGGTTTCATGATGTTGGCCAGGCTCGTTTCAAACTCCTGACCTCAAGCGATCCACCTGCCTCAGCCTCCCAAAGTGCTGGGATTACAGGCATGAGCCACTATGCCTGGCCAGCTAACTTTTTTTTTTAAGATGGGGTCTCACTCTGTCACCCATGCTGGAGTGCAGTGGCACAATCATAGCTCACTGCAGCCTCAAACTCCTGGGCTCAGGTGATTCTCCCATCTCAACCTCCTGAGTAGTTGGAACTACAGGTGTGAGCTACTGTACTTGGCTTGGCTAACTTCCTACTATTGATGGAGCACATTTTCTAGTCGCTCTTCAGAAAGTATGTATGGAAGATTAACATTTTTTAGAACTTACAGGTGTAAAATATTTTTTATTATTCCTTCATACCTGATTGATACTCTGATTGGTGTTATGGGGTGAACTGTATCTCTTCTCCTCAATAAAATAAATAAAGTTCTAACTCCCAGAAACTGAAAATGTGACCTTAAGTGGAAATGGGATCATTGATGATATAATTTATTTAGGATAAGGACATACTGGAGTAGGGAGCTCTTATAAGAAGACGGCCAGCTGACAACATATACACAGGGGAAGACGCCATGTGATAATGACAAGAGAGATTGAAGTAATGCAGCTGCAGCCCAAGGAACACCAAGGACTGCCAGCACACTACCAGAAAGCTAGGAAGAGAGAAGGAAGGAATCCTCCACACTTTCAGAGAGCATACGACATCTTGATTTCTGACTTCTAGCCTCCAGAAGTGTGAGACAGTAAATATTGTTTTAAGTCACCCAGTTTGTTGTATCTTGTTATGGCAGCCCTAGAAACCTAATACAGTTGGGTATATACTTCTAGTTTGCACACAATTTTTTCTATAAATTTAATTGCTCTCTGTGTCTTAGCTTCCAGTGCTGCTGAGAAGTACAATCTTAATCTGATTTCCAATCCTTAGAACATGACTTTATATCCTCTCTGGAAACTTCCAGGATCTTCTACTTATTCCTGGGATTCTGAAATTTTATCATGATTACACATGTTAAGAAATTACCAGCCTGGGTGAAGTGGCTCATGCCTGCAATCCCAACACTTTGGGAAACCAAGGTGGGCGAATCACTTGAGGTTAGGAGTTTGAGGCCAGCCTGGCCAATATGGTGAACCCCCGTCTCTACTAAAAATACAAAAATTAGCAGGGTGTGGTGACAGGCACCGTAATCCCAGATACCTGGCTGGCTGAGGCATGAGAATCACTTGAACCCAGGAGGCAGAGGCTGCAGTAAGCTGAGACTGCGTCACTGCATTCCAGCCTCAGTGACAGAGCGAGATTCCACCTCAAAAAAAAAAAAAAAAAAGAAAGAAAGAAAGAAAAAGAAGAAATAAACTACCAGACAGGGAAAGGAAAAGAGCAAAGAAAAACAATAAAATCACAAGCTGAGTTTATAAGAATAGTTCTTGTTCCTACCAAAGTAGAAAAACCACAGAATTCACATGGGGTAAGGAACTTTGAAGGGTATTGCCTTAGTAGTGGGATTCAATTAGCCCTACATAAAAGACTGAATTGGTTCTACCTAAAAAAATCAAACCCCAAAAGAATAAAATTGTTTTTCAAGTAAGTAAATTTTACGATGTCTAGCATTTTGTTAAAAAAAAAAAAAATTCCAGGCATGCAAGAAACAGGAAATTATGAGCCACAATGAAGAGAAAAATCAATCAATACTGACATTATAATTGTATTCTATGTGTTTAAGAAGCTACAGAAAAGATTGAGCATGTTAAGACATAAAATACGTAAATCCCAGCCGGACACGGTGGTTCATGCCAGTAATCCCAGCACTTTGGGAGGCCGAGGTGGGTGGATCACAAGGTCAGGAGTTCAAGACCAGCCTGGCCAAGATGGTGAAACCCCATCTCTACTAAAAATAGAAAAATTAGCTGGGTGTGGTGGCAGATGCCTGGAATCCCAGCTACTTGGGATGCTTAGGCAGGGAACTGCTTAAACTCAGGAGGCGAAGGTTGCAGTGAGCTGAGATCATGCCACTGCACTCCAGCCTGGGTGACAGAGTGACTCTGTCTCAAAAAAAAAAAAAGATGTAAAACCCACACCCACACCCAAATCCAACTGGCAGAGGCAACAACTACAATGTCTTATATGAAGAATAAACTAGACAGGATTTCAATATTAGATATTGAAAAAGGATTAATAAACATGTAAACATAGCAATTATCCAAAAGGAAACACAAAGAAAATCTTGAGAAAAAAAAAGAAAAACGAAATGAACAGATCATGACTGAGCTATGAGACAATGCCAGGTAACTCAATATACGTGTATACTATGTCCATTCACATGACTCCAGTAGTCACCAAAGGAGTTGAGCAAGAGAATGGAAATAAAAAATATTTGAAGAAATAAGGGCAATGTTTGCATTTGTCTTGCTCTACCTGGTATTCCTATCAAGGCACCTGGTAGATATTCAATGTTTAATAAGCATTTCTTAAACACATTTGCACCAGAAGATATGACAACAATGAGTATGAAATAAGCACCTGACTGTTACTGCAGGGTATTTAGGCCATCCGAGGACAAAAAAGAGGAACAATATGAAGAGAAGGCTTGGTACAAGTGGCATGTTTTCAGCAGGGACCCATGAAATGGGTTCAACTGAGTGAGCACAAAGTTTGGAGAATAAGAAGGGATGAAGAAGGGCATTCCACACAAGAACAACATAAATGAAGATTTGGGGCCCAGTGCAGTGGCCCACACCTGCAATCCCAGCACTTTGGGAGGCCAAGGCAGGAGGACTGCTTGAGCTCAGGAGTTCAAGACCAGCCTGGGCAACACAGCAAGACCCCCATCTCTACTAAAAATTTAAAAATTATCCAGGCATGGTGGTGCTTGCCTGTAGTCCCCACTACTGGCAAGGTTGAAATAGGAGGCTCTCTTGAGCCAAAATTTAGGGAGCTATGATGAGCCACTGCACTCCAGTCTGGGCAACGGAGAGAAACAATGTCTCTAAAACAAACAAAAAGACTTAGAACCAGGAATAAACATGACTGAAAATATACCACCTGGACTGAAGTGGTGGTTGCACCTAGAGGTAATGAGAAAGATTAGTTGGATGAATTAGGGTCAGAGTATGCAAGGCTTTAGAAATGGGAAACAGGAGAGAAACGATTGAAAGTTTCTGAACGAACTTGTGATGATGAAATCAGAATTCCAGGGGAGAAAAAGGAGCATAGTAGTGGCATTCATGATGAATTTGGAAAAGAAAAATGCTAAAGGTGAACGGAAAGGGAGGACAAGGGGCAACTAGTTATTAAAACAGTCCTATCATGAAGTGCTGAAATGTTGGATGTAAGCACACCTACCACAGTATCAGTGCAGACTAAGGGCTTGGGTAAATGTTAGTCAAATGCAAATACTAAAATTTTTCTTGGTTCGCGAAATTTTCAGAATTGGCTCAAAGAATCTGTAATGCACTGAATTTATTATTTGCTTCACAACATTTCATTTACTTAAGATTTTATAAGAATCAGCTGCTTATAAAATTGTTACTTTGTGGTGCACCCAAAGCACCTTGTTATCTCCCTCACCCAGATATGTTTCATGCTCTTTGTACTTTTCACCCTTAAACAGATTTGGAGGGAAGATTCAAGACGTGGATTTTTAAATTTAAAGCAACGCTGTCACGAATTGAGAATTGACAACATGTCATTACACACTTAATTGCCACCAAATCCCAGAGTTTAAAAATTGAAAGCACCTAAGTGATAGGACCTCTCGTTGTACAGATGCGGAAACTGAGGCCAAGAGAGGGTAAATGAACAGTCCCGCGTCAAAGAGCTAATGATAAAGGTGGGTCTAGAATCGACTACTTGACTCCTCTGCGTGGAGCCAAGGGTTCCAAGCGGTTAGGATCAGGGAAACCCAAGGCAGGGAACAGAGTCAAGAAAGCAGCTCTTTCCAACACTAGGGGGCCGCGGAAAGAGCGGAGCCAGGCCAACCTCAAAAGCCGCAAGTCCAGGTACCCTTACGCTGATGGCGGCTACAAAACCCCCGGCTACCCTCCTGATCTCGCGATACTTACCTGCGTTCACTTCTCCGGCTTCCGGTAGGCCCCGCCTCTCCACCGCCTCCTTTCTGTCGTCATTTCCTGTGGGTCTGTCGGCTAAGGGAGAAGATGGCGGCGCTAGGGGAACCCGTGCGGCTCGAGAGGGGTGAGTGCAGCCGAAGCTCGGCGGAGGTGGGCGGAAGGGTTGAAGGAGTGCTAGGTCGCTGGAGGGGAGGAGGGGTGACTCAGGCTTTGAGATCCGGAGCCAGGCTGTCCCTTGCGCTGGCGCCAGAGGCCGCTGATGTCTCTGTGCCTGGCTCTAGGAAGGACGCTGACGGTCTTTCAACTGATACTCAAAGTCCTCCTCTGTTAACACGCACTGTCTCGGGGCACAGCACAACTAAACATAACCTGCCAGCTTCGCAGACACACGCCGCACACGCGTTTCCTTGGTGGGTACAGCATAAGCAGCATTCGGAGACCCGTCCACCCGAAAAGCAAACGTCACACACCCAGTTCGCACAAACTGCATTCATTGCCTGTACAACACGAGAAGGGACACACGGTACAATTCAACAGAATCTCTCTTCCCCCTTGTTTACACGCAAACTTCTTTATTACTTTCTCCACAACCTCACTTGTATTTGAGTTGGGGTATTTGCTAGCTTTTGTGCCCCTCCCAGAAATGGAGAGGTTGCTTTAAAAAGAATTCTACTGACTTGGTCTTGGGAAGGAGGTTACGTAAGTAAGCAGAATAGTGGTAGATGCTAAAACACTTGCAGGTGCAAGGTTTTCAATTTCTTACAAACCCACAGTTGCAGACTGGTTGGTTGATTCTTCCTAGAGCAGACTGTCAAGGAAAATAAAACCTCCTCTGCCGAGTAGTTAGAGATAGAGAAGACTGAAAATAACTGGCTATGCGCCTACCAGATTTCCAGCATTCCAGCGTTTCCTGTTCTGTTACAGATTTCCAGCATTCCACTCTGTCCCTAAATCCTTTATTTCAAACCGTTTCAAGCATGTTTTTCATACACCAGCATTAGAAGTCATTGATAGGAGTTAAGAAGCACGAGTAAATATTTTGAGTTCTGGTGGTTAAAAAAAAAAAACTGTAGGAAAGAGACTAAAATTATATTGCATATATTAACATTTGCATTTACAGTCTGAGTATTACTATTGTTCCTTAAGAAGACACATTTTTTAGAATTACTGTACTTAGAAAAACCTCTTTCCTGATGCCTCCCCCAAACAAAAGTGGACTTAATATCGCTGATTTGCTCTTTATAGTGTTCACCATTTGGAAGTCTCATAGTAAATGAGATTCTTTCTCTTAAGCCTATTAAAACGTCATTTTAGACAGGACTAGCTACTCTGGGAACACTTGCTGAGTTAAGCCTAAGACTGACATCTTTCTCCAGCACAATGGCATTGTGTTTTATAGATGGGAGCAAATCTGTTTGGTGTTAATAGGAGTAGGAGTTTTTCTTTGAAAGCTAGTTGTAAGATTCTAACATATTGGTGGCCTTCCCCCCGGAGGCAGAGTCTCACTACTGCCTCTGCCTCTTGGGTTCAAGCAACTCGGCCTCAGCCTCCCGAGTAGCTGGGACTACAGGCGCACTCCGCCACGCCTGGCTATTTTTCGTATTTTAGTAAAGACGGGGTTTCACCACGTTGCCCAGCTGGTCTGGAACTCCTGAGCTCAGGCTATCCACCCGACTCGGCCTCCAAAGTGCTAGGATTACAGGCATGAGCCACCGCGCCTGGCTGGTTTTCTGTGTTTTTAAATGCAGCACAAAATGTGGAACTCTTGTGGCAATTAGTTTTGATAGTCATGGCTTTGTTTTGTGCTGTTACAGGCTTGTTTTCCTTTTCCGTTCTTCAGTAAAGGCTCAGCCCCTTAGAGGGATGAATTACAGTCAACCCTCCATATCCATGGGTTCCACCTACATGAATTCAACCAACTACAGATTGAAAATACTCAGAGAAAAAAATCCTGTCTGTACAGAACATGTACATTTTTGTCTTGTCCTTATTACCTAAACAATGTGGTATGGCCTGGCCCAGTGGCTCACACCTATAATCCCAGCTCTTTGGAAGGCTGAGATGGGTGGATGACAAGGTCGGTGGATCACGAGGTCAGGTGTTCAATACCAGCCTGGTCAAGATGGTGAAACCACTTCTCAACTAAAAATACAAAAATTAGCCGGGTGTGGTAGCGGTCACCTGTAATCTCAGCTTCTTGGGGGGCTGAGGCAGAGAATTGCTTGAACCCGGGAGGCCAAGGTTGCAGCAAGCCAAGATCGTGCCACTGCACTCCAGCCTGGGCGACAGAACAAGACTCCATCTCAAAACGACAACAACGACAAAAATAATGTGATATAACAACTCTAACATAGCATCAGATATTGTAAGTAATCTAGAGATGATTTAAAGTATGGAGCGGGAATGTGCATAGATTATATGCAAATACTACATTTTATATCAGAGAGTTGAGCATCTGCAGATTTTGGTATCTGTGGTATCCAAAGAAGGTCCTAACAAATCCTCCATGGTTATCGAGACAGCTCTACTGGTGGTTGCCACTTAGCAGGGGAAAAAAGATTACATCAGCTCTGATTCTTGTTTAGAATTCTAACAGACTCTATTAACAAACACTCCCAAGAGTCCTACAGTAGAAAATCCTACAGTACGGTTACAGTTCAGTACCTGATTACATATGATGATTTAGAATCCCTTCTAAATCATCAAAATATGATTTTAATGAAACACAAATTTGAGCACATATTAGGTACAGTTTAGATTTAGTCAAAAGCATTTTACTTTTTTCCATTTTTTGTTAATTGGAAATTTTTATATGGCTTACATATTATACCTTTATAAATCAACATGATTGATGAACCAACAGTCTTCATTTATCAGTGATTCTGGTGATGGGAAATCAGAATGGTGAAGGTCTATTTGTTTCCATTGCATTTGATTAATTTTTTATGTTTAAGCTTCCTTTATCTCAAATTAAAAAATCTGTTTTCTGGCCAGTCCACGGTGGTTCACGCCTGCAATCCCTGCACTTTGGGAGGCTGAGGTGAGCAGATCACTTGAGGTCAGGAGTTCAAGACTAGCCTGACCAACATGGTGAAACCCCGTCTCTACTAAAAATACAAAAATTAACCGGGCGTGGTGGCGGGTGCCTGTAATCCCAGCTACTCAGGAGACTGAGGCACGAGAATCATTTGAACTCTGGAGGCGGAGGTTGCAGTAAGCCAAGATTGTACCACTGCACTCCAGCTTCGGCAACAGATGAAGACCTCGTCTCAAATAAATATAAGTATCTTTTCTACATTTATTCATAGTTTTTTGTCTGCAAACACAAAGAAGGCCATACTATATAAAGAAAACTTCTCAGCCAGGTGCAGTGGCACATGCCTGTATCCCCAGCTGCCTGGGAGACTGAGGCTGGAGGATCGCTTGAGTCCAGGAGTTCTGGGCTGTAGTGTGCTGTGCCGATCTGGTGTCTGCACTAAGTTCGGCATCAATATGGTGAACTCCCGGGAGCAGGTGACCCAAGTTTCCTAAGGAGAGGTCAACCAGCAGAGGTTGGAAACAGAGCAGGTCAAAACTCCGGTGCTGATCAGTAGTGGGATCGCACCTGTGAATAGCCACTGCACTCCAGCCTGGGCAACATAGCGAGACACTCTTTTTAAAAAAAGAAATAAAAAATTTTTCCTGTTCTTCAATATAACATGAAATCAGGAACTTCTTCCATTTAAGTCAAAAGGAAGCAAAGCAATAATAGAATACTGGGCACTATAGCACCTGGGGTACAAAAACAGTTTACAAAAACAGTTTTTTGGGGGAAACAAAAATCAAAGTAGAGATTAGAGATAGTTAACAGTGTTATAGCTGACCTCCTGAATCTTCTAAAATGTCTCAATAAAACACGTATCCTCACACTCTAATGAGAATTCCCTAACATGCTTCATATATTTGTATAAATGTACACAATCTTAGTTTTTTGTTTGTTCGTTTGGGATACAGAGTTTCACTCTTGTCAACCAGACTAGTGCAGTGGCACAATCTCAGCTCACTGCAACTGTCGCCTCCCAGGTCAAGCAATTCTCCTGCCTCGGCCTCCCAAGTAGCTGCGATTACAGGCGCCCGCCACCATGCCCGGCTAATTTATTTATTTGTTTATTTAAAGTAGAGGTGGGGTTTCACCATGTTGGCCGGCCTAGTCTTGAACTGATCTCAGGTGATCTGCTCACCTCGGCCTCCCAAAGTGCTGGTATTACAGGCATGAGCCAACATGCCTGGCCAGTATTTTTTAAGATTAATTGGTACCACTGTAACATAACATTTTTGCTTGCTAAGCCCTTTTTTATGTATTCTGTGGTTCAGTCGTTAACTGAGCTCATAACTCTTCCTCATTACTCCTATATGGAAGATACTGTTATTTCCATTTTACAGTGAAAGAAACTGAGACATAAGGAGGTCATATAACTTGCCCAAGGTCACGCAGGTAGTATTGAGACCAGATTGACAAAGCTAATTGTTTTTCTTTTTCATAAACGTAGGTTTTTGAGCTTGTTTGAATTAACAATGTTAATTAAGTTGAAAACAAATCAGTTTATTTCATTTGTACTGCTAGTTTTATGCATTTTTATGGTTTTCAATGTGTCCCTGCCACTAACTACATCTGCTCTTGAACGGTTATCTACCTATGTATCATGTTTCCTTTGAGAAATGAAGAGTGATTTTGCTAGCTTATAGTGCCTTGTACTGTTCATTGCTTTGGTTACTAATAATGATAATTAGGTAAATTTTTATTGACTAGTTTCTGAAAATATTGCCAGCTTTTCTGAAGCAGTACAGTGTTCATCTGTCTATCACATTTGAGTCACCATCCTTTCCGAGGACATTTGATATTTTGTATTCAGTTTGCCTTTGTTTCTCCAAGGTCTTACTTTCTAAATTTTATGCTTCTGGAACTTCAGTAGTTTTTCTTATCTCCTGTAAAATTTAGTGTTCTTACATTTTACATTCTCATCCTCCACATGTGTACACACGCATAATCTCCTCCCCACCAAACACGTGCAAATTGAATGCTTTTTTCCCCCCTCTATTGTATATTATTGGCCCCTGAGGAATGAATCCTAACTGCTACACTGTTACATAAGCATTGAGAAAACCCTTGGAGAAAATTATCTGTGTGTATGTTTAACTCTAGATATTTGTAGAGCAATTGAATTATTGGAAAAACTACAAAGGAGTGGAGAAGTACCACCACAGAAACTTCAGGCTTTACAAAGAGTCCTTCAAAGTGAGTTCTGCAATGCTGTGAGAGAGGTGAGCAAACATCATTAAAATTTGCTAAAAATTTGAGTTAATTAGGTCAGATAATGATCTAAATTTGGGTTCAAAATTTCTTAAAAACTTTAGAAAACATTAAAACCAGTCTCTCTCATTTTTTGAATTTCTGATAGAAAAAACATAAAGATGAATAACTTTGCCTAAAATTTTAACTAATTCATTAACTTCACAGAGAACTTAAGCGTGGTGTATTCTGAGATATGATAACTTTGGGTTTTACAGGTATATGAACATGTCTATGAGACTGTGGACATCAGTAGCAGTCCTGAAGTGAGAGCAAATGCTACTGCAAAGGTAAATTTTTTTTGTTTACCAAAAGTAAGAATTCTTCATAAATTAGAAGTTTAAAATATGCAATTATTAAATTCATAATAAACTTATTTTGAAGAGTAACATGTATCTTTAAAGCTACACCAAATTTCTTAAGTACTGAGAAATAAAACATTTGTTGTTATTGGTATTACATAAGCTATTTTATGTAGTTTAGATAATGCATTAGAAATATACTTGCACACAATATGTATCATGTAATAATTGTGTTGTATATATTATATACAATACTATATAATATTAATTATCAGAATCTAATCAAAATTCTAAGACATGAACTACTATCCTCATCTTATTGATGAGGAAGCATGAAGATTAGGTTATTTGCCCCAAACCACACAAAAAGCATATGATAGAGCTGGGGTACTTCCCCGGGTTGATTTTTGCTTTCTTCTTTACATTATGTGCATTTGTGTGTCATTGTTTTTCTCAAATAATTCAGATATTGACCTCAGTATTCATGACAGTTGGTTTGAACCGGGTAATATCAGCAGTTGGTAACTTAATCATTAGCAGATAATTCTTTATGGATAGTTATTGGCTCACAAAAGGAAATATTGGATTCTTTGTTGAATACAAATACTTAAAACTTTTGGACATAGTTTGTCAGTGTAGGAAAGACCAGAGAAACATGGTTTTAATTGCTGAGTTGTGTGACTTTCACAGCCTGCTGAATTTCTGAGCCTAAGTTCCATTATCTGAAAAATGAGACCTTTTTCAGAGCTTTGAAGATAACAGGTATTCAGTAAATCTTGGTTTCTTTCCTTTTCTCTATTTTTGTGATCCATCACCAAAAAATGAGATAATTACCCTTAATCTCAACTTTATAATTAATTTGAATTAGTCTAAATTTGAGCCTTAAAGAAGATATGCCTCTGTGGGGATTTTTAGTTGTGACTAGTTAACAAAAGTAACAAAACATTCAGATTGGCTATATGTACCCCTCTTTTTCACAATATTGAGTTATTTCTTGACATCTTAGTTATTTAGTATGTAGTACAAATAGTATAGAAGCCAAAATGATTACATATAAGGATGACTACATGTTGATTATATGGGTAGGTTGTGTCCTGCACAAAGGCTCCTGAAGGAGTTCGGCGATCCAGACCTAAAGCTCAGGGCAGCTGGCATGCTGGGGGAGGGGTTTTCCTCCTTACCATGTACAATGTCCATCTGTCCAGCAAGCCTGCTGCCAAGCCCTGTGCATATGGGACTCCGCAAAAGACTGGACACTGCATGGCTAGGAGGGACCTGAAAAATCGTAATATTTCCTGGGTAACTCAGAATTAATTACTCATTTGTCATCTCTAAAGTGCCTTCTGTTTAGCTTACCTTCTCAGAATCACCAGTGAATTTGTGAGCATTCAAACATCAAAAATATGTGCTCAAAAGTAAAAGGACTGAAGTAAATAAAAGTCATAGTTTTAATACGCAAAACTTTCTTTCAGGCTACTGTTGCTGCATTTGCTGCTAGTGAAGGACATTCTCATCCTCGAGTTGTAGAGCTACCAAAAACAGAAGAGGGCCTTGGATTCAATATTATGGGAGGCAAAGAACAAAACTCTCCAATCTACATATCTCGAATAATTCCAGGTGGAATTGCTGATAGACATGGGGGCCTCAAACGAGGAGATCAACTCCTCTCTGTTAATGGAGTGGTAAGGATGAATTTATTTCTATTTGTAGTGATCTGTTATGACCACCTGGGGGCGTATTTGAGTTATCGGAGAAACTTAAGAGACTTGTGGTTTAGAAATGCCTTGAGGAATGTGATCCTTTTTTTTTTTTTTTTTTTTTTCCAAAGCACCGTAAGTGTATTTTGCAGTGTGAATTAGCATTGCTTAGTGTAATTTTTAATGACAAGCTCTTCATTAAAGGCAACATTGAATTAGAAGCCTACCCTCATTTTACTTTTATAAAATAGCAATTGCTTGATCTACTGAAATAATAAGGCATATAGGTTGATATACTAATTATTTGAAACTTAAAGCCAGAATATGATGTAAGAGGATTTCATATATTTTAAAATGGTAAAGTAGGATTATTTCTTAGTTTTATAGTGTTGGAATAATATAACATTAAAACTTTCTTATATATATTTTAAACATTTTTGCATTTTGAGTTAATTTCAAAACCTAGATATTAGTGTATTTTTTTTTCCCTAGAGTGTTGAAGGAGAGCATCATGAAAAAGCTGTAGAACTGCTGAAAGCTGCACAAGGAAAGGTTAAATTAGTGGTGCGATATACACCCAAAGTCTTAGAAGAAATGGAGTCGCGCTTTGAAAAAATGAGATCAGCAAAACGCAGGCAACAGACCTAATACATTTCAAAACTTGATATTTCATTTTGCATTTTAGCTAGAAATGTTTTCCTTGTGACTTAACTGATGGCTACAATGCCAGTGATTGTAAAAAAAAAAAAAAAAAAAAAAAACAAATTTATCATGAAAATTCTCCTTGCCATTTTATAAATGCCTATTTTAACATCATTTATGGTTCCAGAGATGCATACTCTTTTTTCTGACAAGAAAAAGTAAAAGGTGATGAGGGCAATTCTGTCCTACTGTTTTTACAGGCCTTTTTCAAATGCAGATTTTGTCATAAAGTTGTTATAGATTTTTTAAACTGCTTTTTTAATATTAAAATGTACTTTTACATTCTTAATCTTTTTTTAGAAAAGAAAAGTTTTCTTCATTTGGCTGCTGATTTAAAAGTAAAGTTCTCCAATTCTTTTTTTGCTTACTGTTTTTTTAACCTGTAACATTTCTTTACAGTTTTCCAAGAAATTAAACCTAACAGTCTCACCTACAGCAGTTCATTACACTGTCAGTGTTAACATCATTGCTGCATTTTGTACTTTGAACTCACACATAATACACATAACCAGTGATACATCATGACTCAGCACAGTGCAAGTTTTTTACTTTTACTTAAACATAATATATAATGGATATTCATTTGTACTGATTTTTAAAAGTAAGTTTTTAAACATTGAAACAATCATTGCTAAAATATGTATTCTTAATATTTGAGCATTGGGACAAAAGGATGTAATTAATAGCATTACTGATTACATTCCTATTTATATTCAACAATATATCAAATTATAAATGCAAAACAGGTTCAGATTTCATCTCTTGCAATTTTTTTTTAAATGCTTTTCATTTTTATTTTAATACACAGTATTTGCCCTATATTTTGGTCCTTCCATTCTTAGAGATGAACCAGTTATTTTGTGGTGGGAAGTAGCTGAAGTAAAGAAGAAAAAGTAATACCTTTAACCTCACTAGCTTCAAGAGTATACATTCTTAATAGCTCAGTTTAAATAATTGATTTTAAATAGGAAGGAGAGAGAATATATTTAAGATACATAGAAATTATGATGTGATGTATTCATGAGAATCTATAGTTTCCATCAGAATAGAAACTCATCCTAAAATTGTTGGATTTAGTGATGCAACTTTTATTATTCAAATATGGGAATTTGAGAGATATTTTATTTCATTGATCCACTGGATGTCACCATTTTACTACAAGGCAGCTATTAGTGTGTGACTATGGCTGAGGTCTTCTTAAAGACTGAAAGTTGAGGTTCATTTTCTGTCACAACTTACAGGACTGTTTGTACTTTAAAAAAAATTTAAGTGACAAATGTTAAAAGATAATGGATTGAAAAATATAAGTAATTTGGCATCATTATTAACCCTGTATTAAAAAAGTGGGCATTTTGTAACATTCCTTCAGGAAGAATAGAAATGTATGCTTTTATCTGCATGTTTGTGATCACTGTGAGTCTCAGATAATTATTCCAGTTTTCAATGATTTTTCAAAATAAAAGTCAATCAGCATTGTTATTCATCATTTAGGTATTGAACACTGGATTGCATGGTTGAATGTGTCTTTAATCCACTACAAAATGTGCTTGTTATTGATAGGATCATGTTGTTAAATTGTGTATTTTCAAAATTAATTGATGTTTTTAAAATGTTGAGACCAAAGTAGTATAGAAGTATGGACTTAATTTAATTGTAAAATTATTAGAGGTATTTGTTGTAGAGCTTTATATATTAAAGAGAGGTATTGGTGCATATAAAAACAGTAATATTATTGTTATGCTTGTATTCTTGCATTTCAGGGTAAGTAAATCCTGAAGAAATCTTATTTTAGTATAGCTACAGCTGCAGTAGCTTTTAAGGATGTGTCAACATTTCATTATAAATTATAGCTTCCTGGTTTGGTGTCTCAGCTGTTTCAGAACTTTCAGCCAAGTTAAATCTTTTTTGGTGTTGAAACTTTTAGTAAGTTGAGTAAGCTATTTTTTTTCCTACAGTAATCCACAATCTGTTCTTTGTGTGGGTTGACACCTATTTATAATTCTTAAAATGAGGGTAGCTCAGAGGAACCAAATACAGTCGTTTAGCTTGCTACTGTTGAGTATGAGTAGCAGTAGTTTGTTTTCATTAATGCAGTTTTCATAATGTATCCCAGAATTTTTAATCTTGACCATAGAAAAATACAGTCATTCATTGGCAAAGATGTACAGTGGTGTTTAAGTGCAGTGAGGAAATGAAGGGAATTTTTATCTTAGAAGTGGATGACTCATGAATAAATCTAGGTACACAGTAAGTATATGATATAGATGTTTGATTTGTAAATTACAAATATAAATTATCACCATTTCCATTTATTTTCTTGATATGTCAAGATGTGTTGATTTAGTGATTCTCAATCTTACCTACATATTAGAAAGCCTGGCAGAGCTTTAAAAAATTGATACCTGGGTCATTTAGTTTTCATTCTCAAAACTAAATGAAAATCACTTTTTTTTTTTTTAAGCTTTCCAAGTGGTTTTAAAGGGCACCTAGGGTTGAGAACTCATTATAAAATGATCTGATTACACTGGACACTGTTTTGGACGTATCAGAATAGAACAGTTCAATTTGCAGCTACTGAATGATTAATTATATTTCTTAGTTGTTTTTGTTTGTTTGTTTTTTTAAGAGACAGGGTCTTGCCTTGTCTCCCAGGCTAGAACACAGTGGCATGATCATAGCTCACTGAAGCCTGAAACTCCTCGGTTCTCAAAGCATTAGGATTATAGGCGTGAGTCACTGCACCTGGCCGAGTAATTTCTTTCTTTGGGAAGTAATTAGTCTTACCTTTCTTTTTTTCTTTTTTTAAAAATAAAATCTAGTAGTTTAAAAGTGAGCTTTTAATGTCTGTCATCATTCTGCCCCCTTTGCCTTTAAAAGTTACAAAAATACATGATTGTTACTTGAGAAAGCATGTTTAAAAATTGCAGATGAGAAATATTGTCGTTAATAATTATGTGCTGTCTTAATGTGGGTACTTCATTTGTTATATTAGATTATAGCAGCCTAGTTCTTTAGAATTTGATGATTCAATTTTATTTTGTTTTGTTTTATTTTATTTTTTGAGATGGAATCTCGCTCTGTCGCCCAGGCTGGACTGCGTTGGTGCGATTTCAGCTCACTGCGACCTCTGCCTCCCTGGTTCAAGCGATTCTCCTATCTCAGCCTACTGAATAGCTGGGACTACAGGCGTGTGCCACCACACCCGGCTAATTTTTTGTATTTTTAGTAGAGACAGGGTTTCACCGTGTTAGCCAGGATGGTCTTGATCTCCTGATCTCGTGATCCACCCACCTCAGCTTCCCAAGGTGCTGGGATAACAGGCATAAGCCACCACACCCGGCCTCAAATATGTTTTTCAAAAATATCATTATCCTCCTAAGATTTTTTAAGTTCTTTTGCTCAAGTACTTAAGTAATTTGGCTCAAGTACTTTGTTTACAATTAAAATGGATATTATAGCATTTAATAGAAGAAATGGTTATGGCTTATCAGAAAAGAATATCAGCATGACCTGGTATAGAGTTAAAAGACTACATGTTTGTGAATATTTTATAATGTGGAATGATCATTGAAATATCAAGGATTCTAGTAATTGTATTTCCTAAATAAATGTATGTTTATGAATTTTCTAACTTACATTTTGTTGTGTCTTCTGCCAACAGTCTGGTTTTATAATTTTTGTCTAAAGTTTGCTAGTAGTGTTTCTTCAAAGGTTATTCCAGTTATGGTTAAGTAGTGGGGAAAATCAATTATTAATTTTCAAGAACTTTCAGACTAATTTGTATTGACTTGGTTTTTAAAAATACTGGCAAATGCTATGCTTCTACTTTTAAAATTTGTGGTAATATCCAGAATGGATGTAAAATAACACTTTTTCAATAGATGACTTCATTTATCAATTTAATTCTAATTTTAAGGCTTATTTAAAATATATTTGTATGAGTTATGTCCTTATTTTTGGATTTGAAAAGAGTTGATGTAACTACACATAGATAATGTTTGTGAAAGCTATGTATAAAATAACTTTTACATAAGGTCAAAGCGTAATTCATGGTGGCTGCTGAAGTGAAACTTTGAATTTCTATATCTTGCTTTGTCTTTCATAAAATTTAACTAAAGAAAACATTTTCTTGTGTTATTTCGAGAGTGGCAGTATGACGTGATTGAGAGCACAGATTCTGAAGCCCAACAACTCTGGTTTGAATCCTAGTCCCACCATTACTGTGTGTCACCTTAGGCAAATTGCTTAATTTCTTTGTGCCTTAGTTCCCTCGTCTGTCATCGGTAATAAGAATGCCTGTAAGTGTCATACCATTTTCTATAAGGCCCTTAAAAAGGTGCCTGGCATAGTAAATACTGTTTGTGTTTGCTTTTTTTTTTTTTTTTTTTTTTTTGAGACGGAGTTTCGCTCTTGTTACCCAGGCTGGAGTGCAATGGCGCGATCTCGGCTCACCGCAACCTCCGCCTCCTGGGTTCAGGCAATTCTCCTGCCTCAGCCTCCTGAGCAGCTGGGACTACAGGCACGCGCCACCATGCTCAGCTAATTTTTTGTATTTTTTAGTAGAGACGGGGTTTCACCATGTTGACCAGGATGGTCTCGATCTCATGACCTCGTGATCCACCCGCCTCGGCCTCCCAAAGTGCTGGGATTACAGGCTTGAGCCACCGTGCCCGGCTGTGTTTGCTTTTCTTCATGTAAAATAGCTTCCGGACCTTATGAGCTACGGGAAATAATTCTGGTCAAATAATGAAAATTAGCAAGTTTTTAGTTTAGATGTTTAGATAACATAACCTTTATGTTTGAAAACTTTAGAAGAATAAGATTCATAAGAAATTATCAAATTTCTATTTTGATTAAAGAGTCTCAGAATTTTTAAATTGGAGCTTTGAGGATTGAGGCCACATTCAAATTAAAATCATTGGAAAATAAGTTCAAGTAAGGATCTGTTAAATTAAAAACACTGCGAGAAGATGATCTAGGTCTGGAGACAGTGGAATGCTGGAAAGTACAAGGCATCACCATCATTAACTTCAAACAAGCATGGCAATGTGCTAGGCAGCGAAGGAACAGCAAAAGCGTTTAGTGTTAGGACTCCTTTCAAAACTTTACTAGACCAGAGTATCCATTCTCTAAATTTTTCAATTTGGGTTTTGTTATATTCACTATTGTTAATTATTTTGATTTTAATATAATGAATTGGTGATTCATATTTTGTACATTTATTTACTAGTGGCGGATAATCTCCCTGATGAAAACTTTAAGGTTTACTTTACATAGCACAAGGTAAATTCATACAGAATCCATTTTTCAATTTTGTTTTTTGGATTTTAAATTTTAAAGGTACAAGTTATTCACGTCAACAACAAGGTATATCTTAGACCTCTCTTGATTCTCATGAACTACAGAGGTATATTTTGGATACCAAAATATGTATATTTAAAATCACCAAACGTCCAGATTTGGTATTTTGAGACCAGGTGCAGTGGCTCACACCTGTAATCACAGCACTTTGGGAGGCCAAGGCAGGTGGATCGCTTGAGCCCAGGAGTTTGAGACCAGCCTAATGTCCTCATTTTAATTGGATTACCTCCGTAAAGATCTTAATATAGCAAAACTCTGTCTCTACTGAAAATACAAAAATTAAGGCCAGGCATGGTGGCTCACGCCTGTAATTCCAGCACTTTGGGAGGCCAAGGTGGGTGGATCACTTGAAGTCAGGAGTTCTAGACCAGCCTGGCCAACATGGTGAAACCTCATCTCTACTAAAAATAGAAAAAATTAGCCATGCATGATGGCCTGTGTGTGTAATCCCAGCTACTTAGAAGGCTGAAGCAGGTGAATCACTTGAACCCAGGAGCCAGAGGTTGCAGTGAGCCAAGATTGCGCCACTGCACACCAACCTGCGTGACAGACTGAATCAATCAGTAAATAATAATACAAAAATTATCAGGGTTTGGTGGCATGTTCCTGTAATCCCAGCTATTTGGGAAGCTGAGGCATGAGAATTGCTTGAGCCCAGGAGGTAAAGGTTGCACTGAGTGGAGATTGCACAACTGCACTCCAGCCTGGACAATAGAATGAGACCCTGTCCCAAAAAAAGATTTGGTGTTTTTAAAGTTGTCTCTGAGAAAGTGTGGATGAGTTCTCATTTTAACCAGTAGGTATACAAATTTTAGCCATTGCTTCAGGTAAGTTTCCTGTATATGACAGTTACTGAAAGTAATTCATTTTATCAGAGGGTATTAAAAACCCAAAACTAATATTGTGTTTTTTATTTGGCAAAGAAGTGCAATCAAACCATGGAGTAGGAAAGTTATTACTGGGATCTCTTATTTGATGTAATTTTGAGCCCAGACTTTAAATGCTATCTAACCTTTGTGTTTTACAGTGTTATGGGTTGAAATGTGTTCCCCTAAAAAAGATAGGTTGGAGTCCTAACCCCCAGTACCTCAGAATGTGGCCTCATTTGGAGATAAGATCTTTACAGAGGTAATCCAATTAAAATGAGGTCATAGGGTGGGCCCTAATTTAGTATGTCTGGTGTCCATAGCTTTTAAAAAGCTGGGAGAGATTTGAACACACACAGGGAGAACACTATTGGTAGTGGAAGGCAAAGATTGGGTTGATGCTTCCACAAGTCAGATATTGAAGATTGCCAACAAACTACCAGAAGCAAAAAGAAAGGCATGAACCAAATTCTCCCTCACACGCAGAAGGAACCAAGTCTCCTGACACCTTGATATTGGACTTAACAGCCTCCAGAACTGTGAAACAATAATTTTCACTTTAGCTCCCTAGTTTGTGGTACTTTGTTACGCCAGCCCTAGAAACCTAATACATGAGAGAATCTACCTTTCAGTGGCATCACTACCAAAAATGGATACAACAGCAAAATTAAATGTGGATTGTCCAATGTGTGATAAAAATGTTCCAGTAGGAGTGGCTGTGACTAAGAAATGATGTGATTCCTGCCCTTGGGGATGAGGAGAATGCTGGTTTCTTTGTCTTCTGTGGTTGTAATTCGTCCTTGGATATCTGTGCAGCTGCGTGTAACTGAGCTTGTGCCGCCATGATGGCCCCCTGGACTCGAGTACCTAAGCACCTAGCTGTTTCTTCACTTTCGGTTGTCAGTTACTGCATGGCTGTGTCTTTCTCAACTCCAGGAATTGCTGGGAGTTGGCATTGTCAGGGCATTGTCTCCTTCAGCACTGAGAGAAGTTTCTGCAGCAGTCCCTGCTCCAGCTGGAGTGAGATGAGGATTTGTCTTTGACCTGGGGCATTTCAGCCTTTAAAGGTTTGTCCAAGGGCCTGGTACCAAGCACTAATTCAACCAGAACTGATCGTGTTGCTCCCTTTTTAAAACTCTGCATTGTACTTAGGATAAACTCCAAATACCTTGCCATGACCTCAAAGGTTCTGAGTAATCCATGCCCTACTTCCTCTCGGGCCTCATCTCAGTCTACTGCCCTACTTGTTCTGCTCCACAGCCTATTCCCTTACTGGAAGGCTTCCCTCTGGTTCTTCCACTAACTGGCTGCCCCTCATTCAGGTGTCAGCTGAAGTTGCCTTGCCTGTTAAAGTCACCATCTAAAGGCTAATTCCTCCTCCTCTAATATAGCAACACCTTGTTTTTGTTTTTGTTTGATTGTTTTTTGAGACGGAGTTTTGCTCTTGTTGCCCAGGCTGGAGTGCAATGGCATAATCACAGCTCACTGCAACCTCCACCTCCTGGGTTCAAGCAATTTTCCTGCCTCATCCTCTCAAGTAGCTGGGATTACAGGCATGTGCCACCATGCGCAGCTAATTTTGTATTTTTAGTAGAGACAGGGTTTTACCATGTTGGCCAGGCTGGTCTCATATTCCCGACCTCAGGTAATACACCCACCTTGGCCTCCCAAAGTGCTGAGATTACAGGCGTGAGCCACCGTGCCCAGCCAACACCTTGTTTATATTAACATGCTTAATTGTGTCTTTTCCATTAGAATTTAAGTTACATGACAGGAAGAAGGACACAACTGTACCACAACTCCTTAACACAGTGCCTAAAACATGGAATGATGACTTGTTATACCTTGTTGGATTGATTGGTTTTCCATAATTCCACAGGTAAATCAAAAACTTATATTGAAACTATATAAAAACGATGTGTGTAGAAGGTAGGCACAGAATTTATCAACTGATCTTGGTGTTAGATGTCCTGGAAAGAAAATACTAAAGGGGCAATACGCTTGTCAATCTTTTATTACCTCCATCAAAATGCCAGGTATCATTTGTGGAGGACAACAATGAAGGTTACTTTCATCTTTCATGTAAAACTGTTTCAACTAATATTAATAGTAGCTAAAATTTGTACAGTAACACCTGATTTTTAAAAATAGAACAAAGGTTTTCTTCGGTTATTGCAACAACCAGAATTAAATGAAGAATTGTGCACTTCTAACCAAGACCTTGTTTTTAAAATGTCTATTGTGTAATTTTAAATAAATAACAGGGCTGGATGCAGTGACTCACACCTGTAATCCCACCCCTTTGGGAGGCCAAGGTGGGCAGACTGTTTGAGCCCAGAAGTTCAAGACCAGCCTGGGCAACATGGTGAAACCCTGTTGCTACAAAATTTAGCCAGCCATGGTGGTGCTCACCTGTAGTCCCAGCTACTGGGGAGGCTGAGGAGAAGAATCAGTTGAGCCTGGGAGTTCAAGGCTGCAGTCAGCCCTGATCGTGCTACTGCATTCCAGCCTGGGTGACAGAACAAGACCCTGTCTCAAAAAATAACAGTAATGAAGGCCGGGCACGGTGGCTCAAGCCTGTAATCCCAGCACTTTGGGAGGCCGAGGCGGGTGGATCACAAGGTCAAGAGATCGAGACCATCCTGGTCAACATGGTGAAACCCCGTCTCTACTAAATATACAAAAAATTAGCTGGGCATGGTGGCACATGCCTGTAATCCCAGCTACTCAGGAGGCTGAGGCAGGAGAATTGCCTGAACCCAGGAGACAGAGGTTGCGGTGAGCCGAGATCGCGCCATTGCACTCCAGCCTGGGTAACAAGAGCGAAACTCCGTCTCAAAAAAATAAATAAATAAATAAATAAATAAATAAATAACAGTAATGACATAGTGTAATGG